TGAGGGAACAGTCTCTGCCCCCCCCCCCCCGGTTTTCCATAAAGACATCTTTCTCTTGTAAGCCTATCAGGTTAAGGTTCTGAGTGATCACCTCTGATAGGTGAGAGGGGAAAAAGACAACAAGTCCCCACAGAGGTGTCAAACTGGTACTTAGAGCTAGGAAAAAGCAGCCACTCATTGAACTTAAGATCATCAGACCTCAGGGGGCCTGGGTGGCTCAGTCAGTTAAGCATCTAACTCTTGATTTTGGCTCAGATCTCATGGTGGTGAGTTCAAGCCCCAAGTCATGCCCCACACTAAGTGTGGAGCCTGCTTGGGATTCTCTCTCTCTCTCTCTCTCTCTGCCCCTCACCCACTCACTTACATTCTCTCTCTCTCTCTCTCTCTCTCTCTCACTCTCTCCTTGCTCTGCAAGGACTGAGAGTAGGAGATCCCTACCTCCCAGACTGGAAACAGTAATTCAGCAGGGTGTTCTGTTTGGGCGGAGATTGAAAGCTGAGCCTTCTGTTGGCCAGGGCACGGAGTAGAGTTAGGGCACATCCTCCACTACCCATAGGCTCCAGGAAAGTCAAGTATGATGTCAGCTCAGCTGCCAAACCAAAATCATGGGGTCGGAAGCTAAGCGTCACCTTAGGCCATAACTGAATAGACATCAGGTAAACTTCAGTCGCACCTCAGGTGCCATGACCTCTGGGAAGCATTCTCTGACCTTACGACCCATCCAAATGACCTCCACCGAGCTCCCTTAGCATCCCCCATTATCTAAATCTTCGCTCACATAAGACAGTTATCTGATTCCCTGCCTGTTTCCTCCATCAGAGAGCTCTGTGAGAGCTCATCACACAATGCCTGGTACGTGGAGCAGTTCAGTGAATGAAACCAAGCAGTTCTGAAAGCAGAAGCCAGGGGAGGAGTGGGTGGATTGGAAGCTTTTCTTACGTATCTTCCCTCTGCAGAGCCCAGCTCTGGATGGCACACAAAAGCGGCACTTGCTGAGTGAGTCAGTGACTGATAGGCTAATGCTGTTTTTCATATTCTAGTGTTCTTTTCATTTCTTTCTCACATTTCATGTGAAAGTCCAACCCTGTTACTACTAGAACTCTAAGAGCTTTATTTTCAAAATTAATCGTTGCAAATTTTCACATGTGCAGCCTTAGTGCAACTATCTTATTGTGCAAACACATTTTAACATCTTATATCACGGTGCATGTGAATTTGGAGTCTTTGCCAAGTTGTCTGCGACTTGATTTCCGGATGGGGCTACAGCAGCACCATACAGCTCCCCTAATTGGATGCACTGCTGGAGAGAGAGAGGGGCTTGCCTTTTTGTGTACACGGTTTCTCTCTGATGCACACGCACTCCAATTCGGAGCACGGCTTCGGCTGCTGGTTGGGGAAATCTGGCCTGCAGGTCTGACTTCAAAAACAGAAAAAAGAGACCTCCCAATTCTGGTTTCCACTTTGGCCTTAACTAGCTCCTATTGTGCTCCATATGGCAGGACATATGTTTCTCACCGCACAAATTTAAAACATCTGAAAATAATATTTTCCCGGTTGTGCAGCCATTAGGGATGAGGTAGCATTTTCTGAGCAAAAGCTTGAGTCAGTGGTGAACCTAAGAGGCGGCATCAAAAGGACAGTGGCCAGCACTCAGCGCGGCTTTCCTCAAATCCAAGAACAACATACAAGTCCACGGGATGGGAAGGGTAGGGGAGCATGGTCAGCCACCATTCCCAGTCCTCCCCACAGGCCCACGGACACATTTTCTGCCCTAACTATGAGCTTCAAAACAAAAGAGAGCAAACCACACATATTATAAAAAATAAAAATAAAATTTAAAAAAACACCCACCAATATTGCTATATATGTATTTTACTAGACTAATCTTTATGATCTTATCTTTGTATTTCATAAAGGATTTTTTTTGGCCCTGGAGAGTCTCATGTACATTCTAGAGGAAAAGGCAGAATACCCTTCCTATAAACTACCCTGGATTGGGCTTTTAAAAACCAGACAACAGGCCCAAAATGGAGTTGCTTATGCTCAGCTCCATGTCACCAAGCTGAGATTTAACTCAATTACAGTCTCATCTCTGCAAGAACCATAATCTTAACCAGTCAATCAGGAATTGCCCCATCAGCACCAGTTAGGTAATCTGTGTGATACATCCCTGCCATCCCCTCAAGGAAGTAACCTTGCAATAACCAGTCTGCCTTTTTGCCAGTATAACCTCCTTATTTCTGTCCCCTGCTGCCTATAAAAGTCTTTCATTGTGTGCAGCTCCTCAGAGTTCCTTTCTCTCCACTAGGTTGGATACTGCCCTGTTCAAATTGGTTTTTGTTCAAATAAACTCTTAAAATTTTTTAATATGCCTCAGTTTATCTTTTTTATTTTTTTATTTTTTTATTTTTAAAAATTTTTTTTTCAACGTTTTTTATTTATTTTTGGGACAGAGAGAGACAGAGCATGAACGGGGGAGGGGCAGAGAGAGAGGGAGACACAGAATCGGAAACAGGCTCCAGGCTCTGAGCCATCAGCCCAGAGCCTGACGCGGGGCTCAAACTCACGGACCGCGAGATCGTGACCTGGCTGAAGTCGGACGCTTAACCGACTGCGCCACCCAGGCGCCCCAGTTTATCTTTTATTTTAAATTTTTTTTAACGTTTATTTATTTTTGAGACAGAGAGAGAGACAGAGCATGAACGGGGGAGGGTCAGAGAGAGGGAGACACAGAATCAAAAACAAGCTCCAGGCTCTGAGCTGTCAGCTCAGAGCCTGATGCGGGGCTCGAACTCATGGACCTCGAAATCATGACCTGAGCTGAAGTCTGTCGCTTAACCGACTGAGCCACCCAGGTGCCCCCTCAGTTTATCTTTTAACAGGCTGCCCCAGGCCTGGCTGCAGCCAGGGGAAACAGCTCAGATGAGAAGGCATTATGGTTTTGTGATGATGTGGTTGTGTAATTCCTTGCGATTCGGGACGTGGAGTTGGATGGCAAGGAGACCGAAGGCCTCAGGTGGGAGACATTTGAAGACGTGGGGTGATGAAGGGGTAAAATGCAGAGAGAACACTGCTAAATCCCAAGATTGCCCAATTAATAATGGACACTGAGCCGGCAGCGGCATAAAGCAACCTGTAACAGGCCTGGGGTGAATTCTCTCGGAATTCCCAATCTAGGGAGCTCTGCAGAGTCAGCACACAGCCACCCTTGAAAGCCAGTTTCAAGTAAGCCAAGAGAGCTGCCCAGGATCCAAATTGGAAGACAGAAAGAGAATGAGAGAGAGGAGGGAGGAGGGAATGAAGGAAAGGAGGAAGGGAAGAAAGGAAGATGGAAGGAAAGGAGGAAGGGAGAAAGAGAGGGAGGGGGAAGATATGGGGAAGGCCTAAAAGGAAGGTCAAATGCCAAACCAACTTCAGGTACAGAGCAAGGGCACTGTGTCCTCTCTCACCTAAAGTACCACCTGACATTTCAGATCCCTCTCTTCTACTTTAGTTTTCTGAAAATGCCGTATATTTCTCTTACTTCCCTGGTTTTCTTCCTCCTTGACTGGAACATTAACTCCGTGAAGGTAGGGAATAGTATTTATTTTGTTCACTGTGCTATATCATCTAAAGTGTCAGAAAAATTGCTCTTATTCCAGGCTGACTCTCCTGCCTTGAGCTGATGATGAAGGTAAAGTCAGGTGTAGGAGAGGTGGCAAAAGAGGGGAACAGGAGACTTCTGGAAGCCTGGACTTGTGAGGAGGTTCCTCCCCCACGAAGGAGGCCGTGGCACCTGGCTCCCACAGCAGCCCTGGCCCTCTGGGCTCTCGGCCAAGCTCAGACTAAACACTGCTCCACATGCGGCCATTCAGTTCTCACAGCAACCCTATGAGGCAAGCACTATTTTCAACTTTATCTTTTATGTAAGATAACTGAGGAACAGAGAGCTAAAGAATTAGGTTGAGCCACATGAAATTGTCATTTTAGTACATAAAAATTATCAATTATCAGCATTATCATGCGGTTTAACCTAACCGTGTGCCCAAGATAATAAATTTCTTAAGCAGCAGAAATGCAGATTGCAAGTGCACGGCTGTCTGACTCTGGAGCCCAAGTTCAAGGGCAAAGCCATTGCAGGTGGAAGGACACCATGGGGGAAGCCGGGAAGCCGGGAAGCCGTGTCATTAGATCTCATTAGAATATTCATACAATGAGGCCTAGGAGAGAGGAGAGGATTGGAAATCGCCTGTGAGAGCTATAGCCATATGGTCTTCCCAAAATACCTCCATTTTAAAATGAAAGCTCCTTATTCAGCCTTAAAAAGAAATGAAATTCTGACACATGCTACAACAGGGATGAACCTTGAAGACATTATGCTAAGGAAAACAAGCTAGACATAAAAGGACAAACAGTGTATGATTCCACTTATATGAGGTACCCAGAGCAGTCGACTCCATACAGACAGAAAGTAGAACAGTGGTTGCCAGGGGCTGGGGGGAGACAATGGAAGACGGGGAGTTAGTGTTTAATGCGGACGGAGTTTCAGTTCGGGAAGATAAAAATGTTCTGGAGATGGATGGTGGTGACGGTTGCCCAACAATGTGAATGTAGTTAATGCCACTGAATTGTTCGCTTAAAAATGGCTCCAGTGGGGGCGCCTGGCCGGCTCAGTCGGTGGAGCTTACAACTCTTGATCTTGGGGTTGTGGGTTCGAGCCCCACGTTGGGTGTAAAAATTACTTAAAAATAAAATCTTAAAAAAATAGTTAAAATGTACTTTTTATGTTGTGTGTGTTTCACCACAGTGGGGGAAAGAGAAGGCAAAGACTCTTGCTTCAGTTTGGACCTGCCCAATTATAAGCATCGTTGGATATTTGGATGCTGAAAGACAAAGCCTATTTTTTCCAGTCTGTGCCTTTACAACGGAAAGCGTACACGTGCACATAAATCTATCTGCACGTACTATATGCAAATACTACTACTACTAATAAAAACAGCTAGCATTTAGTGAGCACTCACCTCTTGACAGACTCCGATTAGATGTTGTATGGGTATTAATGCATTTGAAATCCACCAGAGCCCCACAAGGCAGGTGTTTGATGATCTCCGTTTTGTTTCCAATGCTCTCTGCTATGGCACATATACAGGTGAGAGAGCAGTCACCTTTTTTCCAACTATGTGGGGATTTCCTAGAGAGCTCCAAGAACAAAAGACTATAGTGAAAAATGATTCAAAGCAGAGGCTTGGAACAACGCCTGATTCAGGTCCTCAATAAATTTTTGTCAAGTAAAGAACCACATGACTCCAGAAGAATTCCCCACACACAAGAGGTTTTCTGGTTATAAACCTTAATGTTTGTGTCACCAGAGTTTTAAATATGGGGAACTGAAAGGAAAAAAAAAAACGTATCATGATGAAAATTTCTGCCAAAATGCGTTCTGATATTTTTTACAAAGTGGGAACGTGACTAACTACAGCCTACAAAAGCTGGCTATATTTAGAAATGGACTTTTTTGTTTGTTTGTTTCACCAAAGTGCAGCATCATAAAAAAGGTCGCAGGCTTTCAGATGAAGGAAATTTCATGCGATGGTTTTGTGTCATCTGGCAGTTGTTTCTGTGGGTGACACGACCGCCCCCTGGCTCCCCTCAGCCCAAGCTCGTTAGAAGCAGGACTCACTGTAGTTTGACCACAGGGTATTTTTAGTTCCTTCTGACAGGATTGGAACTGGGTATAGGATAGTCAGCTCACAGTTCTCTCTAATTGTCACACCTACTGCACAGAAACGGGGGAGAAAAATGATTGAAGCTCCAGTCACAATCCTCCTGGAAAAGGTGGGATGTCTGTCAGCTCTTCAAGAGTGAAGCAGCCTACCTTGCACTTTCAAAGCCCGTTGTTTTGCAAGAAGTCTTAGGTGAAAACAATGAGACAAAAGCATGCTTTGTGAAAGACAATGACATCCATTCAAATGCCTCTCATTATACTCTCTTATTTTGCAGAGCCTTGTATCCAGAATTATCCTGTTCTATTAACTAGTCTGGTATAGTCTCAAAGAAAAAAAAGCGTTTTTTTTTTTTTCTTAAATGCAGAGTTGGGGGTGGCGAAAAATTAAAGCAAAAAGGCATCTCCTTCAATTCATTCAGTCGCAGTCGCTAGTTGGAAAGATTGTTTCTCGTCACAGTCTCCTCCAGCTCTTTATGGGAGGAGCTCCAATCTTCCCAGAAACACAGATTCCCAAGTGCACGCTTCAGGCTACAATTACATCTCTACAAATGAAGTAGCCCCACAATAGGACACAAAGGGAAATGTTCTTCTCCGTCTTTTCTTTTCCTTTTTTGTACTTGTTGCACAAGGTTACATGATTTGTTGCAAAAATCCTGGAACCTGGGGAAGCAAACAGCTCCTTGGGTCTCTGTTCCACTCTGTTTCTGTCTCCTTCAATATGTTCCTCAGCGATTAATTCCATCAGATCTTAAATATGGTGAAGGAAGTCATGCATACCACTTCCCAAGGAGCTGAGCCCACAATTTATGAGATTTTGTTGGTCAGGACATTTAGACTCTTCATCTGTGGCTCAAGCTTATTGCAGTTCAAGTTCACAGGGCTCAGGGTGTGAGGGAAATGGATGGCAAGAAGGTGATCTCAGGGCAAAGCTGACACAAGAGGAGAGAATGATGGAGGAACTGGCCAATCTCTGAGTAGGGGTCCTGGGCTGGGGAGAGGAGAGTCATGTTCCAAGGCTTCCTGGGTCAGGGGGCAACCTTTGGGATGCACCTACAAGTAAAGATCCCACCAGACTGAGGAGCTCTGCATGGAAGGCCCTTTCAAACTGCATTGGCAGGAGCACCTGGCTGGCTCACTTGGTAGAGCACACAACTCTTCTTCTTCTTTTTTTTTTTTTTTAAAGTGTATGTATTTATTTTGAGAGAGACAGAGAGCAAGCAGGCAGAGAGACAGAGAGAGACAGAGGATCTGAAGCAGGCTCTGTCCTGACAGCAGAGAGCCGGATGTGGGGCTCGAACTCATGAACCGCAAGATCATGACCTGAGCTGAAGTCAGATGCTTAACCAACTGAGTCACCCAGGCACCCGAGCATGCAACTCTTGACTTGGCATTGTGAGTTCAAGTGCTCATTGGGCATAGAGATTACTTTTTAAAAAATTGCATTGGCAGGACCAAACAGCATAGCCAATCAACCATAAGAAAACAGGATAATCTACTACTGTGCACCATGAGAAAAGGTCCAAGTCGATGAGGATACCCTGGTCCTGTCCATCATGGGCAATAATTTCCTCTTGTAGTTGCACCTTTTCACTTAAACAGTAAAAGGCTTATACTTATCAATGTAATCACTGTGCCCCTGGTTCCACCAATCTACAAAAACAAAAGAGGTCATATTTACAATTAGACCTAAATAACAAGGGCTTCAATCTCCCATTGTTTCCAGTCTTTTCCAGAGTAGCTGTCTCTATTTCAGAACTTCTCCAGAGCTCCTTACGTGTATCTATGAACTAGTCTTCATTATCACCCCCTTGTAGCCGTAGTAATGCAGACAAAGCTTCCATGCCTGCTGCCACAATCATTGGCCCACTCTGGCAGCCTGCCAGCATTCGTGGACATAAAGCCAGAAGCCCACCCTTGCTGAGCTCCAGGCTGAAAATCCTAGCAGCCCAATTATAAGGCTTGACCAAGCCACCTGTCTGTTGACCCTCATGCCTGGATGTCACCACCAACACAAACACAGAACCATCCAACTTCACCTACCCCGGGGTGGACCCTTTGACAAATAGCCCAGTGTGGTTCTTGGTGGCAAGAGGTTAGATGCTCCTTCGTGTTATTCTCTCCAAAGATGACCTGCAGCAGGTTGCCTGGGCCCCAGGTATTACAGCATTTTGACTAATATCACAGCTCTTTCATTTGTCATGTATGCAACTATTTTCTTCAAAGCTCTCCCATGGTGACAGGTGGCTCCCTCAGCAGAGTTGCTAGAATCTTTCCCCAGGGCAGCACTTTCCGGTGAAGATGTAGAACCTGAACCTGAGTCCCACTCACCTCTTCCCTATGGTGAGCTTCTTACCAAAGGCCTTATTGTTTTCTTCCTCAAACTTTGATCTGGGACACTTCACACTACCAGTCATGGTTTTATGTCTTCATTTCTCCTTTGTGGAGCCAAGGAGTAGGCTCCTTACTCCCCATGTAATTACGGAAGGACAGGGCTACATAAAGCCTCAAATACAAATAGCTATGTAGAGGGAGAGATAATGCTTTTAGCATCTGAACCCCAGACACTAAGTTAGGCCATATTATCCTGGAATGAAAACAGACTGAATCAGATGCTCTTTGTGTCCACTCAGACTATGGTTATCAAATGTCTACATCATTCATTTATCCACTTACTTATCCACCTACATCATTCATTTATCCACCAACATTTATGGAGCACCTACTATGTGCCTGGCACTGCACTAGGCTTTAGAAACACAAAGATGAATAAAACAAGGTACAGACTATGGGAAAAGGCTGATACATAAGTTACTGACAATATAATGTTGTGGTATTGTATGTAATAGGGCTATTCCATTCTACGAACAGCAGAAAAGCAGAAGATTCCTTCTGTCTGGCGAAATCACAGCTCCTCAAAGTAGAGGATATTTAGGCTGGGTGTTGAAGGATGAATAGGAGTACATTAGGAAGGGAAGGGTAAGGAATTCCAGAGGGAGTTGTTAATAAATATTGGCCCAGAGGCATGGAGTTTCATTGCTTACTTGAGGAAGCAATGGAATTAGGTGTGGTTGGGGCATGTGGGCAAAAGAAAGACTGGAATAGCAGGAAATGAAGCTGGTCCAGATACATTGGAGCCACTTATGAAGAGCTTAGTATGCCCTTTTAAGAACCTGTAATTTTGCTCAATCCAGAAATATTCCTTAAGCACCTACTAGATATTTAAGCACTGAGAGTGGAAAGATGACCCCTATTCTTTAGGAGGTTAAATCACTTGGGGAGACAAACTTACAGAGACCACTATGATATGATGTGATGACAGAGACAAACACAGGGTGCTCTGGGGCGCACAGACTGGAAGGAGAATTGGCGGGGCATGTCTGAGACAGGCTTCCTGGAAGCATTACTGTTGAACTGATCTCGTTTAAAGAAATAATCTCTATGCCCAACGTGAGGCTCAAACTCCCCACCCTGAGATCAAGAGTCCCATGCTCCACCGACCGAGCCAGCCAGGTGCCCCCACTGCTGAATTAATTTTGACGAATGAGTGAGTATAAGCTAGCAAAGAAAAGGGAGAAAACGCTTTCCAGGCAGATGGAGCAAACACAGTGAGCAAAGGCAAAGGGACACCAAATAGCATCATTTATTGTTTTTATTTATTTCAGAGGAAGAGATGATAGGAAGCAGCACCGTACAATTGGAATATGAAGGGAGAGACTAGGACTAGGAGGAAGTAAGGATGGGGACATAAGACGAGCTAGGAGACTAAGGGCCTGATAGGCCAGTTAAGGCCTATAAACTTTGTCTTGTAGGCAATAGGGAGCTATGGAAAAGTGTAGTGCAGGAGAGTGATAAAGACCAATTTTGTATTTTAGGTCACTCCAGTGCCGGTGTGGGTCAGGACAAATCTGGAGCCAAGGAGATGAGGCTATTGAAATATCCAGGCAAGAGGGGCGCCTGGGTGGCTTGGTCGGTTAAGCGTCTGACTTCGGCTCAGGTCATGATCTCTCAGTCCGTGAGTTCGAGCCTCGCGTTGGGCTCTGTGCTGACAGCTCAGAGCCTGGAGCCTGTTTCAGATTCTGTGTCTCCCTCTCTCTCTGCCCCTCCCCTGTTCATGCTCTGTCTCTCTCTGTCTCAAAAATAAATAAATGTTAAAAAAAAAATTTTTTTTAAATAAAATTAAATTAAAAGAAAGAAATATCCAGGCAAGAGATGCTGACTCTCTAAAGGACAAAGGGAGATGACTTGATTGTTTGCATACATGTCTTCCATTCAGCGAAGTGACACTATTATGCCGAGGGTGACATTTTAGGTTCATATCTGTTGTTAGATCCTATCGCCTGGACAGAAAGAAAATTAGGGCTTTAAGAATCAGTCTAGAACCATATTCATCACAGCATTATTCACAATAGCCAAAGATAAGAATGACCTAAGTGTCCATCAACAGATGAATGGATAAACATAAAGTGGTTTTTACACACAATGGAATATTATTCAGCCTTAACAAGGAAGGAAATTCAGACACATGCTACAACAGGGATGAACCTTGAAGACATTATGTGAATTGAATAAGCCAGACATAAAAGGACAAGCACTGTATGGGTCCACTTATTTGAGGTACCTAGAGTAGTCAACTTCATAAAGACAGAAAGTAAAATGGTGGTTGCCAGGGGCTGGGGGAGAGGGGAGAATGGGAAGGTAAGTTTCTAACGGGGACAGAGTTTCAGATGGGGAAGATGACAATTTTCTGGAGATGGATGGTGGTAATGGCTGCACAACACATGTGAGCTTTCGTAATGCCACTGCACCTTATACTTAAAATGGGTAAAATAGTAAATTCTATGTTATGTATATTTTACCACAGTTTCAAAAAAGAACACTGAAAGAAGATAAGGCTGTGTAATATTTATGGTAGGGATTGATGTTTTCCAAATAACGAATTAAGAAGTAGATCTGTAGGAACTAGATTCATAGAAATGAAGAAATGTAAGCAATAGAATCATATATAATTGAGTAGTCCAATCCATTGCAAAACCTTTTTGAAACCAAGAGTGATCTCTGTAATATACCTTGAATTGTGAGATTTACTGACTGTAAAATGTAAATCTTGCACCAATTCTTAAAAAAAAAAAAAAAAAAGTGTAGACCAGCCAGCCACCTGTTGTGGTAAATAAAGTTTTATTGGCACCCCTCCACACCCACTTGTGTTATGTTTTTTAGCCTGTGGCTTCTTCTACTCCACTACAGCAGAACTGAGACACAGAGACTGTCTAACCTGCAAAAACAAAAATATTTACTATCTGGCCCTCTATAGAAAAAGTTCGCTGAGCCCTGTTCTAAACTTTTGAATATGGAGCGTATTTTGCTAACAGCATGTATCGATGTTCAATTTGTGGTTATTGGTGAGAATGTTCTTGTTCTTAAGACAGGAATCCTGAAGATTTATGGGGAAATGTTCAAACAGTGGGTGATAGATAAACAGATTGACAGACTGATCGAATATGGCAAAAAGGTAACACTTAGTGAATCTTGCTGAAGGGTAGAAAGGTGTTCACTGTATTATTCTTGCAATTCTTCTAAAGTTTGACGTTTGTCAGAATAAAAACAAAAGGAAAAAAAAAAAATGTACCCTGAGGGCTCAATTCCTTCCAGTCTTCTGCAGCTTCTTGCACACTGGTGATTTTCTGACTTTATATGATTGCAGATTAGAATAAAGTATCCAAATCAAGGATAAGACCATGCCCTCCCTGGCCTGCAAAGGGAGTGTGCCAACCAGTTACAACCCATTAGTGCCTAGATTCTCTTTGGTGTTAATTTTTTTCCCTTTGGATAATTGTATTTTGGACTCTCCACATGCTGTGCAAGCAATGCCAGCAAATCCTCTTGTGGATGAAGCTGTAAAAATAGCAAATAAGCAGCCAATTTCTCTACTCGTATGTCTATAGTCACACAGAAATGGAATAATTCTTCCTGTGTTCTACTTGCCACTTTGAGTCTCTACTTACCCAGTGTTGGACCTGATTTCTCCATTTTTTTGTTTCAAGATCTAAGAG